CGTGACTGTTTCTTTCTTTGGAAAAATTCCACTTTCCATTATATCTTAAAAGTTATGGTGGGTGGGAGAGCCAAGTTATTTGAGAATCAAACAAAGCTAATTTCTGTCAGCACAAAGGTAGACAGGTGTATACTGAACCGGACCTTACTGATGCTCATCTCTCAGCTACTTCCTTCCAGCTGATTGGCCCTACAATGGCCAATGGCCATTTTTTTTCTTCACTGAGTTTTTCTCACGATCTGCCTGCAACCTCCACTGCTCCCCACATACACACACACTAACCACACACTATCTGCCAGAGTGCAGGGCTAACATTTGCAAGGTCGGATGCAGGGAAGTCATGTTGTTGAGCATGTTGTAACCCCCAAGGCCTTGGCAGGATCTCCAGCATGTTAAACATAGAATGCAGTCAAATGAGAGGAAGCTGTCCATTGAAGATGCCTGTCGGTCCCAATGGAGTGTCACACCAGCCATTGTGTCTCTGTTCTTGTCAAAGAATAGCAGGAATAGTCTTGGGAACTGCAAGTCACACCTCTCTGTATTTATAGCATAGTTTCCCTGGCAGGAGAACTAATAAGCTTTCTTGACATTTTGATAGCAGGAAAGAGTGGGGAGGAGCAGTGTGTTAGGTATCATGTGACCCAGACCTTTCTGTACCGGCTGTTCTGGTGAATTGTGCAGTATCAACTTCTCATTCCTCGGGCAGAGCTTGGGAACCAGGAACAGCGGAACCAAAATGTTCTGGCAAAGTGTGAATGGTGTGGGTCATACATTGAAGGTGGAAAAAAACTTTACAGCAATCTTTGTTTTAATCTGGTTGGGAAGGTCACCTCCTTTTGGTCTTCCTGTTTGCTGAGGGACTGTGGACAGTAGGACAGTAGGAGTCAGACTCCCCGTATACGTCATTATCCTGTTTTAATAGGTGGGGTGCACGTTCATGCTTTCTGTGTTCCCTGTTCTCCATGAGTCTTGAGTGACTTGGACACAGCTATTTTTATGATTCTGTTCATCTTCCCATGTCCACCTGTAAGTTTTAACCATACTGTGCTGACTTCTTAAAAAAAAAAAAAACTTTTTATTTATTCTCTCTTTACAGTAATAGAACATCAGTATCCTGAATCCATTTCAAGTTAATTAACAATTAGTAAGTGTATATTTTGTTTCAGAAGTTGGTCTAACTGCCAAAGGAATAAGACTACCTCTCTGGACTTAGAGAGTTCATTGTTGAATTAGATAGTATAGGCTTTACTGTAAGAAGTATTGTGACAAAGATGTGTGAGGTAAAGTGATCAGGAAAGTTTTGGAGAGATGACTAGTCTAGTTATGGAAGGTGGGTTTTGAGGTAGGAAATAGTTGAATTCAACAAAAGCAACTGCTGGAAAAAAAAAAAAAATGTTGAGTGCCTGAAGTAGGAAATTCAGTAAGAGGGAAAGTGGAGTCCAAGCTGATCAGGTTTCAAGTTGTGAAGAGATTTAGAAACCCTCTGAGGTGACCATATTGAACAGCTGTTTGCATGTTGATAATTACAAAGAAATAAAGCGGGATAAAGACAGTTTTCATTCATGTTGAGTTAGAGATAACGATACTAATTGAACAATTGGAACTACGAGAGAACAGATGAAATACAGCGAGTGGAGCTATGGCTATATGTTGAGGTGCCATATATGGATGAGATTTCCTGTAGAGAAACATGCTTGTTGAGAAAAGTGTGAAAAAAAAAATCCCTTTGGATTATGATCACTTAAGGGATGGACCAAAAAAAAAAAAAAGAAAAGAAAAAGAAAGAAAAATTGTCAACTGTGAAGGAGAAGGAAAATAAGTGGTCATGAGAACAAAATAGCAAGAACCAGAAGTCATGGAAACCAAAGAGGCTTCTGAGAAAGATTGGCAGAGGGCATCAGTCCTATAAGCTGCTACAGTTAGGTCATGCGTCAAGTGGGATTTATGACTGTAACTATCAATTGCCAGTCCTGATTGGGAACACCACCTTTGTAGTCTATGAATTTGACTTTATTAAATATCATTAGAATACAACCAACCTCTGATTGAGACCTGAGAGGAACTAAGCTGGGTAGGGAGCATAAGGTCAAAGCACCATTTCACAAATTAAATAAATCATTATAATAGCTTCCTAAATCTCTGGCATTGTTACAGTACTTGACTTAAATTAGCCTATTTAATTCTCACAGCAAACCCATGAAGTAGGTACTAATAGCCTCACTCTCACTTTACAGATGAGGAAACTGAGGCACAAAGAAGAACAATAAGCTGTCCAAGTCACACAATTAGAACTCCAAGCACCAGGAATTTATTTATTCTGTAGTAATAAGAATTAATCATCTTACGGACTTTTCTATAGGTTGAAATTGAGCCCAGTCAGAAGTGCATTGTGAACACAGTCAAGATGGTTTGCAGATCTGAACTACGAGACCTCAGTTCTTTTCCCTACTCTGACACCAACCTCTTTCCTAATCTGTAAAATGGGGTGTTGGATCCAGCTGTTCTCTGAGATCTCTGCAGCTGCAATCTTGTTTGGAAGAATGACTGAGTGTGAATTTTGGCTCTCAGTAGCTTGCACAGATATTAAATAATTGACTCTTGTTCAGCCAAGTCTCTAAGTACATACAAAGCCAAGCTACCACTGGACTGCCCACCGCTAGCAATCTTGTGATGCTCTCTCTTTAAATCCTAATATCTGGGCAGCAGGGGAGACTGCAGAAAGAGGCCAACCAGTCAGGAGAACTTATCTATGGTGCCTGTATTCCCAAGGGCAACAGACCTCTGCAAGTTTTCTCAGAGAAGCAGCTTTTTTGAGGCTTGTCTAGAAACATTAGCATGCTGCTAACCAGTTGGTGGGAAGGTCACTGGGACAGGAGACAAAGAACATGCAGCTCAACTTTTTCTCAGGGGGTTTAATCTGTCTCTAGTCAAGCATGGTTCAGTGCCCTACTTCAGTACTCCATGAAGAGATCACTGGCAGGGACCCAAATCTGAAGGCTTCAAGCCCACTTATGCTGATTAAGTCCACATTCTTTGCCTTTCTACTGTTTTTTGTTTCTTTTCTTTCCCTTCTTTGTAGCCAATATAATGACATAGCTTTCCTTCCTCAGCTCCCATTCAAATGGCCCCATTTCTGTCACTTGTGATTTCATGTTGGGGTTTTCTTTCCCGCCATCCCCAGTTGGTGAGTGGACCTCAGAGAGAGTGACCAGAGTCAGCTCTCTCCTGGCTCCGTCATGCCAAAATGACTTTAGTAATTTCCTTGAGATCATTTTCATACACATGACCAGAATCTTACCATGTGTTGATCTTTAATTGAAAATTACAGAACACTCAAAAGAAGAGAAACAAGAGATTTTAGAACATGGCACCCTTAAGTGGATCTTCAAACCAGTATAAAATGCTGACTGATTTTATCCTTATGTACTATGAACTTTTCATTGTCAGAAGGAACCTAAAACTTCCTAGAATCTAAGTACTAAGTAAAACTTTCTCTTGGAACACAACTCCCTCAGTTTTCCTTTTGCTTCTTCCACTTTCCTGTCTAAGTCAAGGCTTCTTGGATTTTATAACTGTCAAGAACAAGAACTTCAACCTTATTCTTAAAAAAACATCAAAAGACTTCCTGCGTAATGACCTCAAGGACTTAACGTTCTTTTCGTAGGTTGCATACATACATATTAAGAGGACTTCACTAAGAGAGAGAAGCTAGGACCCTTCCTAACTACGGAACAGAGAGGAACTCCCTCCTCACATAGCACCGTCTCTCCCTAGCAACGAACCAGCACACAGTGCAGAACTTGTGGCTACAGGGCATAGTACAGAGGGAGGTGACTGGTGTAGATCAATGACAAAGGAGTGAAAAATAGGAGATTGAAAGGTCAATTAAACATTTCACGAGAAGGAAAAGAGGTAGAAACCCATAGTCAGAAATTCCACCCATAGGTAAAGGCACAAACATACTTCACTCAATCAGCAGCTTTTTCTCCCACAAATGATAGTCTGTGCCAGGACATTAGTGAAGCTCCAGAGAGATCACTTTTAGTTTTCTGTGAGTCCTTATGATGAATTTACAATGTTCCCTGACTTCTCCGTGCACTTGGAAGGAGCAGGCATGTGGTAATGGCGGCCATCCTGCTGTGAAACATTACTGATGCCAAGAAATGAAATCTTCAGAGCCCTTGAAAGGCTTCCAAGAATGTCAGCACTGACTGCCTGCCCACTCTGCTGACTGCCTACTTTGGCTGTCTGTGGAGTACTGAATGTGCCAGAGAGGCCTTCATACAAAGAGAGAAAGTGTTTTAGGCTCATGAAAAGGGAAAGCTTTCTCAGGTGAATGGTGAGTTTCAACAATCTTGTAATAAAAAGGCAGGGCGAGAAGGGGTCTTCAGGAAAGGTATGAAAAGAAAACAGAAAGAGATGGCATCTGTCTTCATGTTATGGATTCTTTGTAGACTCTTGTCGTCAAAGCTGGAGAAGACGTAGACTATGTCACCCTGTGCTCTGGTTGCTGGATCTGGAAGATCCTCTCTGTATCCAAGGATCAGCTGAGAATAAGACCTATTAAGCCCTACAAAGGCACATATAATTGTACCTTGGTTTCTACTTTAACACTTTATTCTGTTTATTTGGGATTTTGGAGACCCTTTTTAACTCTGTTGTATGACAAAAAAAAATGAGAAATATCCATTTTGGCACAGCTGAATATTTTATAATGCTTGATTCTTGAATTGGCTTCAAGAACGGAAGAAAAATGTTTTGTACAGTAAACTGTTCTGTCTCGTTAATGGTACTGCTCATAATTCCTTGGCATAGCAAATACTGAGAAAGGAAAAACTCTTGTGGTGCTGTGAGCTTTTCTACGGAGCAGTCTGATGTCAGTGGTGGCAGACACAGATGTCCATTCCTGACAGACTGTGTCCATATGTATTGTCCTCTTTGCAGATAAGCGGACTGATCGAACATTCTGACGTGATTTCCCTCTGTCCTCTCCTTCCTAGAATCTTATGGCGAAAGCGTTATATGACAATGTCCCAGAGTGTGCTGAGGAGCTGGCCTTCCGCAAGGGCGACATCCTGACTGTCATAGAGCAGAACACGGGAGGCCTGGAAGGATGGTGGCTCTGCTCCTTACACGGTCGGCAAGGCATCGTCCCAGGCAACCGGGTAAAGCTTCTGGTTGGTTCTGCGCAGGAGCCTTCATGCAGTCAGGACCAGTCCACTTCTGGACTGATGCACCAGGCCTTTGGCCAACAGAAACTGTATCAAGTGTCAAATTCCCAGGGTGCTCCTCGAGACACTATCTACCAAGTGCCACCTTCCTACCAAAATCAGGGAATTTACCAAGTACCCACTGCCCATGGTACCCAGGAGCAAGATGTGTATCAAGTGCCACCATCAGTGCAGCGAAGCATGGAGGGAGCTAATGGGCCCCACTTAAGTAAAAAGGTGAGTGAGCAGCTGACTGGATTTATGTTCTACTTTTTCCCCTCCATTGCACTGGGAGCAATGGGAATGTTCCCAAAGTAACAACTTGAAATTTCCAAGAAATAGATCTAGAACTAGATATACCCAGTATATCTAGTATTTTTGCATCATATTTCCATTCATTCTTTGGCAGAATTTTCTTGAATTGCTACTATGTGCCAAGTATTGTTGACTCATCATCCTTATAAATTCCTGTTGGTCTGGTTTAGACTGGTTAATATGTTTTTTCTCTCCATCTGTCTGCTAGATCTACTTGAGACCTACCTTCTGCACTCAAATAGTTTCTAGTCTTTTCTGTTTTCTTTGAAGGGTACAAGGCACCAATCTTGTATAAGCACAGTGATGCTGCAAGAACCCATTTTCACCAGAAGCTGACTGAGGACCTTATTGGCCTGGCTGTGCACAGAGCCCCCAGCCATGGAGGGGCGAGGGAAGCTGGAAGGGTCATGCCAATGAACTTGTTCTCTGGAGTTATTCACTTTAAAGTTTAAAACTCAGAGTTAATAGTGAATTGATCCTCTTATCATTCAAGTAAATCCTATAAAGTACCTCAGTAAGAATAGTGGAGTTAAGATATTTAGGAAGCCTTCTTGATAGGGGGAAAAGGATAAAGGCAATTGTTCAGCACCCTATACTTTTAAACCTTTTAAACCGGCATATCAATTTGAAATGAGTAGAAATCCATTTAATGAATACAAAGCTTGAATTTACAAGCCTATGTAAATGAGGGGTTATTTATTTGCATGATAATGGTTCCTCTGTTGGAGAAAAAAGGGGGGGCTCTCTACTGGATTCCTTTAAATAACAAAACCACAAATGCATTTTAAGATCACCTTTAATCCAAAAAGTATGTTTTACAAAACACTTCTCAAGAACCCAGCATGCTTTTTAAGTCATGTACATATATATTAGAAGGAATTTCTCAACATGTGTTGAATAGGTTCTTTTTTTAAAAAATATTTATTTTTATTTGTTTATGCATACAAGAAATGGGGCATACGCCAGAGGTGCAGAGGGTGAGAGGATTCACCAGAGACAGAGTGGGGAGGAGGACAAGTGGATCTACTGAAATACACTGCTGAGGGGAGCAGCGGGGGAGACAGGAGAGGTGTGCCATGTCGGTCAGCTTCCTGGCGATTGAACCCATGCTGCCTGGCTGCAGTTAGCCTCATAGTGATGAGACTTAACCCTTCGTGCCACCAAAGGCACCCCTCTAATAAAGTTTATGAATGAAGAAAAGGATGTTCCTATTTTTGTATGTTTCCATATACCTTATCTTCCTGTCTCAAGGTATGCAGCTCCTATGTCTGAAGATGTATCTGAACTCACCATGACAAATACAAACACAGGCTAGCAACCTTGCTTGTCTCCCAGCCAGACTTTCACCCCTGAGTCACCAGGGAGGCCCTAGTGAATAATTTTCTGACCTGAATTTTGCTGACCCCATCTAGAGGCAAGAGACTGACTGCTCCATGGACTTTCGAAGTCCTTCTTACCCAAGGAATTAGACTCAGAGAGAGCTGAGACAGGCCTCTATCTCTAGCAGAAAAGAGCAGTTGAGAGAAATACCTATAAATAAATTACTTCTCCCAATCTTAGTCCTAGTTGTTTGCACCTTAAAAATGACTCTTCTTCATTTAAGCTAGAGTGAAGCAGATGGGGGAGACCAGAACAGGAAATGTTTGGCTGAAAGGTGACGGGATTTGAACTTTCACCAGTTTGTTTTGGCAAGAAGGTGACATGTTTTTCTTTTCAGACTCAACCTTTTCAGTTCCAAGTCTAAAATGTCTAAAATATCAGCTGTCTTCCCATTTTATTTGCCGTAACTTACCACAGTTTTGCTCCTTCGGTCTCCAACCCTTTAGAAGGGAGTTCAGTCATGCCTACCCTTAGTTGCTGTTAGGGTGCTGGTTACCCTTGGGTGCTCAAACTCAATGTTCTTTTGCTTTCTTAATTTTAAAACTAAGGAGCTATAAAAAGTAGGTGACCCCTGTAGGAGGAAGCCAACTTCTGGATGGGACCCTTGCCAGCTTTCACAAGGGAGGCACACACACCTGAGGAGGCCCGGCCAGAGCTAAGGAATAGATAGAGCATGGAACACAGAACTTGAGCAGCTGGGGACTAAGGTGGTAACAGGGAAGGTGATAGATACTGGGAGAAAAAGATAGAAACAGCAAGAGAGATTGGTCCTGGCTCTATCTGAAAATGCCAGCATTCTCCTGGCCTCAGCTTGAAAATCACGGTCTATCTCATCCTTTCATTCCTTTCTCCTCTCCCCACCTCTTCTCTCCCACCAACTCCTTTCTTTCTCTCTCCCTTTCATTCTCTTATCCTTCCTTTTGCCCTTTCTTTCCCTCCCTCCCTTCCTCCCTCCCTCCTTCCTCCCTTCCTCTCTTCCTTCCTCTTTTCCTCCCTCCCTTCCTCTCTTCCTTCCTCCCTCCCTCCCTTCCTCCCTTCCTCCCTTCCTCCCTCCCTTCCTCCCTTCCTCCCTTCCTCCCTTCCTTCTTTCTATGGTAAGATTACGGGTGATCCCTGCTGAAGTCTAATAATTACAATTTAGGATTTTTCGCCTTTGCGGTAGGGTAATAGCTGCAGCATCAGCTGAAGCCAGACCCTGGATTTTGAGG